AGAAAGCTCGAAGCGCGAACGTTTACGTATTCACCATACTGTTTTAATAAAATTACGTAGGCGAGAAAGCTTTTTTAAAACCGACGCTACGTAGAGTGCGTATCAGCAGACGACGTGACGTCGTTGGGTCTCGAGGGGGAAGCAGCTAGGTCAGTTTAGCTTCGTGACGCATAAAGCCGTTCTTCCAAAAAACGTTTATTTGCACGTTATTATTTCCTAATGTACGTGCAATAGTAGACGATAAACTTGCTGTGTCGTGCTTGCTAGGAATTGCTGTTCTTCAACTACCAACAACCGAAAACTACCGCTGCAGAGACGAAATGAGGGGGGGTTCTTCATACGGAGACAGGGACAGAGACCGTGGGCGAGACAGGTTAGTGTCTTAATTAACAGAACACACACATAACGTAAACAGTCGGTGTTTATTAATGTTTGGACCTTACAGAAGTGTGTCCTTGCTGTTTGAGGTTAAGGCGCTAACACCGAAACAAAACAAGCGCGCCTCGAGACCCCTCCCCCCTTTGTTGTTTGTTTTTCTGCTCATTTTAACATCTTCTAAAATACCTCACCGTCCTATTAGTGACAGAAAATTTATTTAGGCGTAAAGTCATTCTAAACTTAACGTAAATAACAGATGAAACTGTATATATATGTACACAACTACCGTAGTTTATAAGTAAACCATCATAAGAGCCACGACACATATCACAATCTAATTCCAAAGTCCATGCTCAATAATCCAGGTATGAAATTTTCAGTCAGGTCATCTGGACGTTTTTTTTTTTTAATGTGCTGAGACGTTTCGCCTTTGATCCAGAAGGCTTCATCAGTCTGAGGAAACGCCAAACAAAACTGCATCTCCCCCAACAGCTTGCTCCAAAGTGGGGAAAAAAACAGTTATCAGTGTTGCCAGATCTCATGATGGACACAAGCAACCAGCTCTATGAAAACAAGCCCAACTGGCAACCCACCACATTGTGTAAAACAGAGGCTGTTTTTAAACAGTATAAAATACATTTATTATGGCAAAACACATAAACAACAGCAAAATGATGCTAAACACTTTGAATAACATGCCTTTAAGCTCTGATTTAAAAAAAAAAAACATTTTGTGTATGTAATTTTTTCTACATATTTTTAAAAACAAAACATCCTGACATCTGCATGTAAGTAGAGACCCCTAGTGGTCGGCCACAGTAGGAGTGTTTGGGGTGCGTGCCCACAGACGTATTTGTATGTCTGTGTGCACGTGTTGCCTCGCCCACTTGGGCAGGAGCGATAAACAAGAAACATGGGTGTATAAGGGACAAACTATGAACTACCACTCGTCTTTTGCTTTATTGTGTGGAGCTGGGAGATAATCAACTAGTTTCACTCAGAAATAAAGTCAAGCCCAAATAAGCAACTTCACGTTCAAAACAAGCCCGAAAAACCACAACCTGCGACTCACAAGATTTACAAGCAACTTTAGAAAAAAACAAGCCCAAAGTCGCTTATTATAAACTTACTTGGCAACTGTTATGTTGATGCTAAGATGGTCTCTGGTTCACACCCTCTCCTCCGGTGCCCGCCCTCTCCCTCGTCGACAGTCATGTCAAACTGGCTCAAAACACCAAAGTCCATGCTCAATACTCCAGGTATAAAATCCAACAATTTTCAGTCAGGTCATCTGGACTGTTTCTTCTTTTTTTTGTGCCAAAACGTTTCACCATCCATCCAGAAGGCTTCATCAGTCTGAGAAAACACCAAACAAAACTGCTTCTCCCACTTTGGAGTAAGCTGTTGGGGGAGAAGCAGTTTTGTTTGGTGCTTCCTCAGACTGATGAAGCCTTCTGGATGGAAGGTGAAACGTCTCAGCACAAAAAATAAATAAATAAAATAAAACATCCAGATGACCTGACTGAAAAATGTTGGATCACAATCTAATATTTACGCCATTGTAAACATTTTAAATAAAGCGACATTTTAGATTAAATACATTTTTTAGTCGTTTGGACTGAACTTGTATCGTTTGTATCAAGAACTATAAGAATTTATGAGCCTCTACTAAAGAGCCGGCATAAGGGCTATTTAAAAAAATTCAAAACTTGTTCTAAAATATGGGGAGCTGTTGTGTCAAATCCTTTTTAATCTTTACCGCTCAGGCCACGGTTTGGAGGGGGCATGGGTGGCCGTGGTGGAGCCCCGCCCTTAAAGTTTGGCAATCCAGGTGAGCGTCTCCGCAAGAAGAGGTGGAACCTTGATGAGCTGCCAAAATTTGAAAAGAACTTCTATAACGAACACCCAGATGTCCAGCAAATGGGTCAGGTAAGTCTTTCTCTGTCACATACAAACGGTAATTAAAACAATACATTAAAAAGAATATGCAAGTACACCTTTTTTTTTTTTTTTTTTTTTTTTTGATGTTTGCCCTTTTTTGTGTTGTCTCATCCAGTACGATGTTGAGGAGTTTCGCAGAAAGAAGGAGATCACCGTCAGAGGCTCAGGCTGTCCAAAGCCTGTGACTGCTTTCCATCATGCGCATTTTCCCCGTGAGTTACTCACCCTGTGATATAAATGCTCACATTAACCTAAAGACTAATTATTAGACACAATAAACATTTAAGTTTATCAACTACAGGCTTTCAATGTGATTAAAAATGACACTTTTTATTCCAAATAGTTTCTCTTACTGTCGTTTTGGTAGAGAAGCTGAACGGTAGACACCTGAATAACAGTTCAAACTCAAATTGATTTGTTTTTTCCTGCCTTCGCCCGACAGAGTATGTGATGGATGTTCTGATGCATCAGAACTTCAAGGAGCCCACAGCGATCCAGTCCCAGGGTTTCCCAGTGGCCATGAGTGGCAAGGACATGGTGGGAATTGCACAGACTGGCTCTGGAAAGACACTGGCCGTAAGATTTTTTTCATTATAAGTTTATCATGATTTAACTCTAGACAAATTTTATCCCAACTCTTTAAATAGCTCCTGCATGATTGTCAGCATCATCTAAAAACCTTAATGTAAATTCAAAATTTGTAAAAAAATATTTAGGTAAATGATAATTTTTATACAACTAGTGCTTAGTGTATTTTTAGTTAACGTTTTTCTTAGTTCATATCTTAGATCTTATTAAGTTTTTTCTTTTACAATTTATACTTTTGTTGGATGTAACTGGGACCCTGTGTACACAGTTTCGTTCCACCACATGTACCACTTGCGGTGCGTACGACAAATAACCTTGAATCCTCGAAACGCTTGCAGTACCAGGAATAGGTGATTTAGAAACCGAATTTGAGTGATTCTAAGACAAACGGTAAAAGCATTGATACATTGTTTTAATGGTAGAATTAATTAGTTTTACTCATTTCATGTGGTGGAGTTTCTACATACTTTTGTTATTCCTTGCAGTACCTTCTTCCCGCTATTGTACACATCAACCACCAGCCATATCTGGAGAGGGGAGATGGTCCTATAGTGAGTTCAAATTTCATACAGCTTTACAGTGAAGCGTTGTATCTGAATACTAGTATTTTTGTGCACACAGTGCCTGAACGTTGTTCTTTTTTTTTCTTCCTTATCTTTTTGCAGTGTCTTGTTCTTGCCCCTACCAGAGAACTGGCCCAGCAGGTTCAGCAGGTTGCGTATGACTATGGCAAGTCTTCCCGCATCAAAAGCACCTGCGTCTATGGTGGAGCTCCAAAAGGACCTCAGCTTCGAGACCTTGAAAGGGGTGTGTACAGACACTAGTTAGGCAAACCAAAAAATGTGTAGATTTATAGTTTTTGACCTCAGTATCTGCTGCCTGAATGTAGGCAGAACATGCCAAATGCTCATACAGTAACCACAGGATTCCTTATGCATTAACATTAAACATAACCAAACCGCAGCACTCAATATTGTGTGTCTCATTGTTTTTGTTTGACATGGTGGTCACGTATAATTTAAAGGGGTTGAGATCTGCATTGCCACACCTGGTCGCCTTATTGACTATTTGGAATCTGGGAAGACCAACCTACGCCGCTGCACCTACTTAGTGCTGGATGAGGCTGACCGCATGCTGGACATGGGCTTTGAACCGCAGATTCGCAAAATAGTTGACCAAATCAGGGTAGGACTGTGGCTCAGTGACGGTTTTGTTAAATAAATGTCTTCACATGTAAATGATCAATTTTTAGATAAACCAAATCCTCCTGTTTCTCTTGACTGTTAGCCTGACAGGCAGACTCTTATGTGGAGTGCAACTTGGCCGAAGGAGGTTCGGCAGCTTGCCGAGGACTTCCTGAGGGACTACATCCAGATTAATATTGGTGCTCTGGAGCTCAGTGCAAACCACAACATCCTGCAGATAGTTGACGTCTGCATGGAGACGGAAAAGGACAACAAGTAAGCGTAACCTGCCGATAAACAGGCCACCTGTAACATATTATTTATTGAACAGGAATAGTAGTACTGCAGAACATCAGCTGATTCTTTTACACAGCTTAATAGAAAAATGAGGATCTTTTCTCTGTGTCAGACTCATTCAGCTGATGGAGGAGATAATGGCAGAGAAGGAGAACAAAACCATAATTTTCGTGGAGACCAAAAAACGATGCGATGATCTTACTCGGAGGATGAGACGTGATGGGTAAAAAAAATTACCGTCTGATTATCGTCTGTGCATAAAACTTCGTCTGATCCAGTGTTCAGCGTGTAAAGTCGTCATATTTAATGTTAATAGGTGGCCGGCCATGTGTATCCATGGAGACAAGAGTCAACCAGAAAGAGACTGGGTTCTTACAGGTCAGACTACATCTTAAACAGTTTTAACTGGTTTGTTGTTGCCACTTATTGCTGTCTAACATATTCAGAGTACATTAGTTACAGAAGTCGTCAGTATTCAGCCAGCTAAGACACATTCTGAATTAGTTTTAGTTTTTTTTTATAGTGGAATTAGGGCTGGGCGATATGGACCAAAATTATATCTCGATATTTTAAGAAGAATGGCGATATACGATATATATCTCAATATTTCTTTCTTTCCATAAAGTAATAACAAAAATATATTTCTGAGTCAAAGCTTTGTCTCGTCACACAGGCACATTTATTAACAAACAGCTGTAACTAGAAAATAAATGTCTAAAAAATAAACTTTTTACATATATTAGCTTGTTTTGTTAGACCTTTATTTACATAAATTAAATAATAATCCTCTTCAGCCGCACCGCCTTCACAACGTTGGTAAGCCTGTATGAACTGCAGCTGCAGCTCCGACAGACTTCAGCCTCCTTCCCTGAAACAAACCATGGTGTTAAACTCATTTAGCCGTGCTGTGCATTGTGAGAGGAACAGTGAGGGCGCGTCATTAATAAATTAGCAGTTTATCATATCGCTAAAGACACCGTCCTTAGCGGCTAACAAGATGGCTAACGCTTTAGCTGTCTTGTTCCACACAGTTGAGACTGGGACCATGTCTTTAGCGATATGATAAACTGCTGATTTATTAATGTCACATTCTCATTGTTCCTCTCATAAGGCACAGCACGGCGAAACAAGTTTATACTGTGGTTTGTTTCAGGGAAGGAGGCTGAAAACACAGTCGGAGCTGCAGCTTATAACTTAACTAACGGCGCCGTTTTAAATGGTGAAAAAGATTCGTAGTTCCGACCTTTTGTCTGGACTTTTTTTTTTTTGCTATTGTTTACAGAAAACTTTTTTCTGCTGCTCATACTATCTAAATCCAAACCCATCTCCAAATAACATCCATTGCTTTTCTTTTTGCTCAGCAGCTAAGCTGCTCTTGATATCGCCTGTGTTTACTTGTGTTAAACTCCAGCCCACCTGGAGAAGCAGGAAGTGGGAGGAGCACATGCGGCTGAGGGGCTTTGTATTTGTATTCAATGGGGGAAAATGAGGGGCCACGTGGGAGAAAGAGAAGACACTATATATAAAACTATTGTTTATATCGATATAGTCTCATATCGCAAATGAAATTATCTCGATATTTTTAAAATATCGAGATATCGCCCAGCCCTAAGCGGTATTTAGTAAACTGGATCAGTTACCCTGAAGAAAGCCTTTATATTTTCTCTGTCAACTATCTGATGTTTTATTTTAATTTTTAACTTCACAGAATTCAGAACAGGCAAAGCCCCCATTCTGATTGCCACTGATGTTGCCTCTCGTGGTCTGGGTATGTCTCTGCACTCATGCTGTTTGCACCTTTTTAGTCGTTCTATTTTTAGAAGTGTTTTGTTTTAATTTTTGCTAATTACGATGTTATTATACACGATAGAATCAGACAAGTAAGCAATCATCGTAGTTGGTGAATTTAAAATGAAACTTTACGTCTTTATTTACTGGTACATTAATTCATGTTGGAGAAAGCTTTTTGAAGAGTTGTGTTTGAGATGTAGTGAAAGTTTTAAGTTTAATTAGCTGATGCTCTTAAAGTCAAACACTGGCCCGATGTGTGAAGGTAAACAGAAGGTACGATAAGAACGAGTTCTGTAATGAATGGACCACGTATTTAAGGACTTTTGCCTCCCGGTTGCAGGTTTCGGGCCCTCTGATCCACCAGGTTTATAGTCTGTTTCTTGTTACCGCAGTTAAAAAGCTTCCTTCAAGCTGGGCTCTTTGGCACGCTGCCTGAAAGGAGGGGTGTGTAGGGCAGAACCTCCTGTGCACCTTTTTATGTCTCCTATGTGGTGTCAGTACAAATTCACCGATGTTGCTTACTTTACCCATTTTTATTTGGATAATTACAAACTTACTTATGGTTTTTATGTGTAGAACGATGAGTGGTGTCATGTCCTCACAGGCATCAAGAACGTTACGACTAATTTTACATCTAATCTGTTGGTAGAAAATTGAGAAGGGGGGATAAGTAAAGTGTCTTAATTTGTCAAAATTTCTATGACTATATCCTTGTTCTCTTTTCCCCTCTTCTCCTCTCAGGGTTTGGCAGCACACGGCAGCTGTAACAGTCTGTGCTGCTGTCACTGCCCCCTCAGTCATGTTAAAGTACAAGCTGTTATTTTAGGAGGGATTAATGCCCCTCCTGTTTGGTAAATAAGATCCCCTTCCCTCCCCACGGCCCATTATGATCAGTTTGCAAACCCAATCCGGTGAGCCTTCCTTGGGAGCAGCCTGAGGTTCCTGTATGTCTGCCCATCGGCCCCAAAGAGCAGACAGACAGGGGGGAGAGAATTAGACGGGCTCGTCTGGATCCAGTCCTGGCCAGAGTCTGAGGAGGGTCCTGCAATGCGACGAGAGAGCAACAGAACCAGCCATTGTGTGGGTGTCTCTTGGGGTTTAACGGTTCTGCTCCCGTCTGACGTTGCTGGTGTGAGAAGAAGGTGAGGGATGAACCCTGTCTCCCTCGCCCTCACCCCCTCCCTTTGAACCAGGACTGATCAGGGGGGACTGACTACATTTGTAAAAACAACTTGAAGGGGGTAAGTACCGCAAGCACCCCTTTGCCTTAACTCCTCCACGAGCTCACCATACAGTCATGTGCTCAAACACTATTTATTATCCTAGCACATGTAACAGATGATTAAAAGGCTTTCTTCTGCCATGATGGAGGGGAGACCTATTGATCAGCAGTGCTGTCAGAGGCCCACGTCTTCTGTAATGAGAAACAGACTCCTTTTCACATTTCGACCTGTGATCATAATATTGTGAAGATCATAGAGACCTAACATGGTTTCTTTATTAATAAGAGTCATACTCGCTCCAAATAGAGTGAGTAAAACACTTTATAGTCAAGGTGTTAAACTGAAACAAACCTTTGGATGTGTGGATTTTTGCACATTGTCTGAAAAAGCAGGTAAGTAACTCCTCTATTTGTTCAGATATCTTCCTAATATTTACACTTTCATTCATACTTCATTTTAATATTCATAAAATTTCTCTAAATACATGATTTTTTTCTAAAGCCATTTCGCCTCCTGAAACTTCTGTCTTTTTGTTCCCTTCCCGCCACGCTCCAAAATAAATTCCCTTCAATCAAAAGACGTGGAAGATATAAAGTTTGTCATCAACTATGACTTTCCAAACTGCTCTGAGGATTACGTTCATCGTATTGGACGTACGGCCCGCAGCACCAATAAGGGCACGGCTTACACCTTCTTCACACCCGGAAACCTGCGACAGGCCCGAGACCTCGTCCGGGTGCTGGAGGAAGCTCGGCAAGCTATTAATCCTAAGCTGATGCAGCTCGTGGACTCCGGTCGTGGAGGAGGCGGCGGTAAGAACGATTAAATCACTTTCTCTTAGGGGTGTAACATCATGCTAAATTAAAACCTCACAGGACTGAAAACTCAAAACACTGATCAAGTTGCAGTTAGCATAACGTCCTCTGGTACGGTTAGCTCCAGGGGCAGTCCCTCCGCTTTCAATCACTGCTGTGGCAGCAAATTGGAAAGAAATGTCAAGAATAAGGATCAGTATTGTCACGTCACTCAAGCTGCGAGTACAGTAGTCCCTTGTTTATTGCAGGGGTTATGTTACCACCCCACCCCCGGCAATAAGTGAAAAACCGAGAAGTAGGAATGCTATATTTTAGTATTTATATATTTTAAGGCTTTATAAACCCTTCCCACACTCTTGCAATGTTCTAAACTCTTAAACGTACTTAATTTTAACAACGCACATATGTACTGCACAGTTAGCTACTCCAAAATGTTATATGGGTACTCACCAGCCTTGGTCCGGTTTTGATCGGCTCTCTGCAGCCGTTGAGCACCAAGACACTTTTAGAGAGAGCCGGACCTTGGAATAGCCAGCACAAAACTGCACAATGGTCCCGATCGAGTCCAAACCCGGATGACAAATGTCCCGGTGAGCTGCGGAGAAGACACCGGACCTCCAAGCAACGCCTCCCCGCTTGAGAGGCCTCATGGGTCGGCAAGCAGCTCTCAGATTGACCGATGAGCCTGGAAGTCTGATTCTGATCCAATTCCCGGTCGGTTCCGTACAGCTCTCTGTATCCACTGAGCGCCAAAGTCACTATGAATAAGGACCGAACTTTTTCGGATCGGATCAAAACTTTCCCTCCATTTCAGCAGAAAGTAACTGGCTTCTGGGTAATGTAGTCCTTTAGACTGGCGATACAGTGTAGGCTTATTGGGGAAAAAACTACAAAATGGCGGCGCCTGTCCGAAGTATTTTTTTATTTAAATTTTTTTACTGTATCCTGTACTGTTCCAGTCACATGAGTAATATTAAAGTTGACAATCGTGAGCCGTGTACAATTTTATTTATTTTTTGTCATGTACAATATTACTTTGAAAAACCGCGCAAGAACAAGTTTGCAAAAGTCGAACCGCGAAGTAGCAAGGGACTACTGTACAAGCTTGAGATGGTTTCTGTGTGGACCCCAGGAAGAATAGTCTACTACGTTAGAAACTAATGGTTATCCTTAAATAAACACATGTTGCACGTTTATTTTAAACAACAAACCCAATATAGACTTGGAGGAGGTGGCGGTGAAACAAAATGAAATATGGAAAGAGTTTCACTCTGTCCTCTTTCAGTCCATCTTTAGCTTCCATGACTAAAATTTAAAACACTTATCAGAACACCTCAGCAACCAGGTGTCTGCCTAAATGTTTTTTTTTTTCTTCTGTAATTTTAGAATGAAATATTCGTAGCAGTTTGAATTTCCATTTAGGCTTTTTTTTTCTGTTTTAATGGCCTTTTGTATTTAAAAAAAAATATCAGAAACCAATAAAAGTGATTAAATTTCTGTAAACTCAGTTTGTTTTCACCAATCTAAAGGCATATTAAGACAAAAGTATGTTAAAAAAAACTGAAATGGGAAGTCTGAAAGTCGTGAAGGGCTTGATCTGGTTCTTAATCTTGACCTCTTGTGAAATTATAATTTGGGTTCTGTACAGCTTTTCTAAGTTCTGAAGAGACTCGGGAGAAATCAGAAAGAGCAGAGTGTTGTTTGAAGATCTGAACGCTTGATGTTTTTACGCGCAGGGGGCAGAATGCGTTACCGCGGGGGCGGCTCCAACAATCCGAACCTCATGTATCAGGATGAATGCGATCGCCGCATGCGCTCAGGCGGAGGCAAAGACAACCGCGGCGGCTACAACCGTGACAACCGCAACAACCGCAACGAAGACCACTCGTCCTCCTACAGGGACAGAAGCCGGGATCACAAGAACTACAACAACTCTGGTTCCGATCAGTACCAGAACTACAACAACAACGGTGGCGGCGGCTACCACACCCGCAGCGGAGGTGGTCAGCCCGGCGGCGGTCAGGATCAGTCCAGCCAGCAGCAGCAGCAGGGTCAGTTTGCTCAGGCGCCTCCTCCTCCTCCTGCACCACCGTCAGGAGGTCCGCAGCCTCTGATGGCTCAGCAGTTTCCCCAGCCGCAGCCTCCACTCATGGGCTTCATGGGGCAGCCTCCATACCCCCAGTTCTCCTCTCCTCCACCTCCTGGCCCACAACCTCCACGGAAGTAATGGTACCACCGCCGAGTTAATTTGTGCAGCTTTGTGTGTCGAGCTCTGTTCTTACTGTGTATCCCAGAAGCAGAGGTTTAACAGTGTTACGTGGATTACCAGATCCCAGGTTGTCACTTGGCTTAGATTGCGTGCAACAATGTCCCACGAAATGTTTTTTACTTTGATCGGCTGTGAAATGTGAAAATGAGCGGGCGGTTGTAAAAGATTGGACCCGAGCAAACTTGTCTGAGGTTGAGACTTCTTGTCTACAAGAAAAAAAAAGTTTTTTAAAATCACATTCCAACCTCTCCCTCAGCTTCGTTCACGTTCAGACTGACATTCAGCGGATTGTAACGCTTCAGCTAACACAAACTAGTTTGTGAATTTTTTATTTAGTAGTTAAATATCCTTTGACCACTCTAAAAATTTATTTTAGGATTCATTCTGTCGTGCATGTCGTACTATTTCCTGTTGTGTTGCTGGTCAAAATGAAGTTTGTATTAAAAGAAAAGCTTGTTTTGTCATTTACTCTTTTTATAGCGTTTTCTTAAATAAATGATTTAAGTCCAAACGTCTCGTTTGCTTAGTTCCTAAAGTGCACTGAAGACATTTAAGCAACGTTCTCATTTCAGCTCATCACTTTGCACTTGGGCTGCACCATTTATCATTTTCAATATGGATATAAAATATATTTTATCAATGATGCTCACGGCTTGTTCAGGTGGAAGTGATAAAACAAATGAAGATGTGAGTTTATTGCAATATTAAAATCATGCAGCTCTTCTAAATATATTTTAGTAGTAGGTGGGTGTAGTGGACTAAGCCTACGTCGAAACCCAGTCTAAGGTCAAAACTCTTGACCTTTAGAACCTTGTGGGACAGAAGCTGTCATTTCATGTATTTGACTCCATAAATACAGGTTCACCCATCCTGAGACTTTCTTTCTTGAAGATTCAAGTGAAAAGAACACTCTCTTTTTATTATCATTACTATCTTACAAATGTTGATAATCAAAGTGTCTTAGTTCAAACCATTTTAGATGTTGCAGTGAACTAATCAATTTTATTAACTGAGTAATGATTTTATTCTCATGTTAAAAGCTGTGCAGAGTTTATGCATTTTTTTGATTTCTGCTTTTGAATGAGCAAGTGTGTGCGTTTACAAGGTTACAGTCAAACGAAAAACAAGTTGTTATGTTAAAACTGTCATGTTTTAGAATCCTCTCAGACGTAAATAGAGATGTTTTGCACCTGTTTCTTAAGGCACGCCAAAACAGAACCCTCTCGGTCTGTGAGAACATTTCTGAGCTGTCTCATAACAATTCTCGCTGTCTCTAACCCCTTACGTCACAAAAACACACCCCTTCTGGTCGTTTCTGACCAATGAAAAATCCCAAAAAGTGAACCGGGAAAGAGCCTTTAAAATGTCAGTACTTCCTGGTTTACACAGACTCACAGGGACACGGAGAGACACACAGGTACTCAGAGTTGGAGAGTTGTCAGACTTCTAGAGTTCTGGAGTTCTGATGGAGTGCTGTTGGAGTTCCTGACATGACAACGAAGCTCTTCCGAGTTCCATGGGATTATAACATTTTCCACTGAGGTGAGCTGTGGCGGACAGAACCTCGCCGCTACTCCGGACGAGTAACAGCATCCTACGGAGACGCTGAAAGGGTGCGTTAAACGGAATCTCGCCTGAGACATCTCCAGGTAAAAGAGTCGTTTTCACCACCTAAGTGTACTGTGAGGAAAAGCTGAAGAAAGCCCGGAGAGTGCCGTTCTGTTCAACACTCTACCTCAAACACCATCTTTCTCCCCTTTAAACTTCATCTTTCATCTTAAACTTTTCTATCAAGTAGAAATTCTCCCAGATATTTAGAAATGTCTGTGTAAAGTGCTTACCCACATTCATGTGGGTAAAAGATCATAGTTGTACAGTTATAAATGTCTGTTGGTGCAGCAACGGAGAAATCATGGCCGTATGATTTTTCCTGATTGATTGCTTTGTTGTTATTTTCATAATTTGCCAAATTAATGTAAATGTTTGATGTTAAATTTGATTCTGTAAATAAATGACCGCATTCATTTTGATGGGTCAAATTTAAATGACGTCTCCCGTTTGCATTTCCTTAAATTCAGTGCACGTTTTATTCAGTCCAGAAAAATGAGGAACTCGCGTTAAATGATGAATACATCCCAGCATCTGTTCATCTACATGGGTGTAATGGTTTTATTTACAGCAGGCACAGAAACTCCCTCTGCACAGGAAGCTGCAAACTTCTCTCAATCCCAAACTTTTTTCATTTTCAGTCAAGTTTTGATATTTCAATTAAGATTAATAAAAACCCCACAGCTACGCGTTTACAAAATAAGGGGGCATGATTTTATTTCCTGCTTAAAACCTCATTCGCATCCTGTGGACGATATTGAAGATTAATAATGAAGCAAATATTTACTTTTGTTTCATAAATGCACTCGGTTTTCAGTCAAGCATGGTGGTATGTGTTGGGCTGAATTGACAAATGGTTCTGAACCTCCCAACACACAATATTACTCATGTATATATATAATATATAAATAATATATACTATTGTAGAACTGCGCCGCTCAAGGTGGCTGCATGTTGGAGCAACTCTGTTACTTTCATTCTGAGATTTTGCTTTTGGAAACTTTAATTCCTCTTTTTCTGGATGTAAATCACATTTTTTGGATGATTGTTTCCTCTGGTATCGGATGCTGTGCAGCTGGAAGGATTTTTACTGAAACTTTTTTAGTTTTGGACATTTGTTATGATGCGTAACCATGGCGACAAGGCAGTTTTCTCAGCTGATTAACATCTCAAAAGCTCAAATAATATCTCAGCTACAGCCCCAAATTTCAAATGAGTTGAAAGGATGTTCTGTGGACGCATTCTCATCTACCTGCCAGTTGTGTTCGAGTGCCTGACCACTGAGATCCTGGAACTAGCAGGAAACACAGCTCATGACAGTGGAAGGACAGGATCGTCCCTCGGCACCTACAGTTAGCTGTCCGCAGCGACGAGGAGTGACCATCATTCTGGGAGGAGTTCTGCCTGGCATTTGGGCAGTCCTACAGCCCGGGGGAACCGAGAGGCCAGCCGATTCTGGATGGACGGATTGGACGGCATCTGCGGCCAGTTTCTTCGGTTCTGCTGTGGGATGGACCTTTACAAGAGATCCTGCCTACAGCCATCAGCATCTATAACATCTCAATGAAATGAAGATAACAGGTTACAACAACAAATAATTTCCCTTTGGGATTAATAAAGTTTTTTTGAATTGAATTTGAATTGAATTAGGATATCCCTGGCTCAGAGAACATCACCCGGCCTGAAAGAAGAGCAGAGAGGTGGAGTTCTCAACAACCGCTGTTCCCTCGTTAAAAAGACAGAGACCCTCGAATTAACAGATTTGTCCAAGGTTCCTTCTCTTTCTCTCGTCCTTGCTCTTGTATTTAGTCAACAGGGCCCTGTTGTCACCTTGCCGGACCAGTTGATCTACTTTCGGACGCACCCCTTCCTTCAAGTCTACTACAATTTGTCCGGTCCCGAAAAAGAGTCTGAAGGAATAAATTGATGAGTCCCTTAACTCTGGCATCATTCGCCCCTCCATGTCTCCTCTCGGGGTATCTGGTCATGTCTTTAGGCCTGACCAACGCCCCAGCTGTGTTCCAGACTGGTGAATGACATCCTAAGGGATTTTCTGAACGTTTTTGTGTTTGCCTATTTAGCCGCCTTATGAACTATATGAAGGCAACAGACCAAGAAGTGATTTAAAGATGAAAATGTACCAGCGAGTGAAGTTAATGATGACCAGTTAACCAGTGAATACAGGGTTCCCATGGTAACGATTCCCAAAATGAAGAACACATCCACCATGTAAGAACAGTCCTGCAACGGTTATTTGTAAAACCAGAACAGTGCAAGTTCCATGTGCAGTCGGTCTCGTTTCTTAGGTTCATTTTTGAAGGCGGACAGCACCGTACCGACAGTGGTGGAACAGCCTAACCCCAAGACCAGAAAGCAGCTGCAATGGTTCCTCCAGTTTTATTTTATTTTTTTTAGCAGCATAACTGTACTCAGGGTTCCTACAGTCTTTAAGCATATAAAAACTGAAACGTGCTTCGAGTATTTTACAGAGTACTTGTCTTTACACTTTTGTAATTTTTTTTCTAAAAAGCAAACAATATTTACAACACTTGGGCAAAAAGTAACATAAAAATGTTGTTCTTTGCTTTCAAAACTTATTTGTTAGGAAGAAAATTCTAAAGAAATAAAATGTTTGCGCAGTAATTTTATGCTCCTATAATGGAAAACAAAATTACTGTGCAAACATTTTGAATTCTCTCATTGTGCAAATGTTATTTGTCATGTTGCAGACTGCAGCATGTTTTACTGGATCAGAACATAATTTCACAACAAATCTTCTGTACCTCAAAACAGCTCGACCCAACTAGGATCATGAATTACCGTAATCTTCGGACTATAAGGCGCACTTTTTCTCAAAAATCGACAGTGAGCCTTATAATCCGGTGAACCTTATGTATTCATTCTGGTTGTGCTTACTGACCTCGAACTGATTTTATGTGGTTATTGTGAACGAGTTGAATAAAGTTTTAGACTTTTCTGACTGTTTTGTTTCACTGAATGTGCCTTATAGTCCGAAAAATACGGTACAAGAAGGGCAATTTTCTTTTCATGTTACAGTCTTTGTACTTTGGGGTCAAAAATGTCCAAAAACAACAAATCTTTAAATTTGACTTTAAAGTTAAGGTACAGCTGAGTCAGCAGTACCATTAAATAAAACACTGGCTTCCCCACGTCCCCCCCCCCCCCCCCCCCATGCAGAGTCCCATCCTTCATCAATATCCTTTTATTTTAATCTCAAAGACGTTCATAGATCTCTAAATTTCATATCATAAACATCATTCAACAGCATTTGATGTGTCGTTTGTTTTACAAAGTCCAGACGAGAACACAAACATTCGAAAACAAAAAGTCCAGTCATTTGTGTGCACGTACGAACAAAGAGCAAAAAGAAAAACCCAACCTCAGGCACAGGCGGCAGAACCAAACCAGGGGGTGATGTCAGCTCAGGACGTCGCTCGTCCCTCTTTGGGTCAATCAGTAAAAATGAAACGACGAACTTCGCTGGCTAAAGAAGGAATGATCAGCTGTGCAAAACAAAATTAGTGCATACGAATGGAAATTGCAAAAAAAAAAAAAAAAAAAGATCCTGACAAACAAACACAAAAAAATCAATCTGAAAAACAGAAAAAGTGCAGAAATAACACAACACAGAATGTTAGGGGGGAAAGCACAAATGTAAAAAACACGTTTTCTGGCGTTCAGTACATCGAGCGAATAAAACGAAACCTTCAGTAACATTCGGCGGTGGAAAACCTTATCGCAGCTGACACGCCTCACAAAACAACTCATTATAGATGCGCTCCCAAAATAATCACCTTCCAGCTCAGTTCAGAACCTGAACAGACATGACTAGATTTTATTCATTTATATATATATATATATATATATATATCTCCATTCTAATGCATGAAATCAGGAAGTACCGGTAAAAAAAAAAATTCCCGTATGCAGCTGATTCTGCAGTATTTTGATTCATAAGTAAAAAAAAAAAATACTCATCATGACCGAGCCGCACATTCAGTTTTTAAAAGGTTCGGCTCGTTTCCTCGGAGGCGTTCTGACGGTTGGGGGTCGTCACGTAAACGCGCCGAACTAACTGTTGGAGGGAAAGAAAAGTAGCCGCGCAGGTAGAAGGCACAACTGGTTTCCACAGCTGCCCTCACGGCTCGCTGTGTTTGCAAAGTGGGAGTTTGAAACCACTTCATCGTAATCCTTTAATCGGCGCCAGAGATCCTGGACCTAAAGGAAGATGGAGATCAGGTGACGGGCGACTCGTCCTTCTCTACTAAAGGTTCCCCCAGGAGTCCGGAGGGGGGAACTCGTCGACGTCACCGGATTCGTCGTGACATTTGTCCCCAAGCTTGAACGTTAGCTTGTAGCGTAAACGCACTTTCTCCTGAAAAAAAACAAAGAGAAGAAAAAAGGTTCAGGTCCACCTTGTTGAGTAAGAATTACCTTAAAATAAAAACAAGTTGAATATGTCGAGAGAGGAAGGACTCAAATTTATTTTTAGTCGTGAGAACGCAGAATCTGCACGAACAGTTTGAACGCTTTGAAATACTTTTGTATTTTTGCCATTGAACTACGTCTGAATACTTCATGCTCTTTTAGCCATTTATAAACCAAAACGTTCAGCTCATTCAAAAGATGAGTGTTATGACTTGTTTTTTTTTACTTTTACACTTCAAAATATTTTTTCTTTTGCTGATATTTAAGTCACAGAAATACAGATCTCGCTTGCGTTCTTTCTGAAACGTTGCTCTGCTGAATCAAACATCAATCATTTTAGTTTTAACTGTCGTGCTTGCAATAACTTTTAGCTGGACTTTTTCTACTTTTAGCTTAAAGCTAATAATTTACTTACAGCTAGCATTTAGCTACTTCTAGGTTGTAGAAAGCATCTTACTACTTTTAACTTTTAGTTACCCTTTTGCTTCTTTAGCTATTATTCTGATACTTTGAGCCAGCATTTTATATTTACTTTTTGCTACCTTTAGCTTCTGACTAGCCTTTTGCAATTTTCAGCTAACTTTTTGTTTCTAGCTAGCCCTTGCTATTTTTAGCCAGCCATTTGCTATTTTAGCTTTTAGCTAGCCTTTTGCTATACAGGCCTTCTAGCTAGCCATTTGCTAAATTTAGCTTTTAACTACTTTAGCGTAGCTGCAGAGTACCTTGTGAGGGTTGGCCAACAGCAGAATCTGTGTGATGGCAGCTGGAGGCAGGATGGGATTGAAGGGTGGGAGCTCGGTACCGGAGGGAGGCTGCAGCTTCACCTTCATCACCTGGAAAACATTTGATCGTCGTCATTTTAAAACCTCCAGAGTGTGAAAACATCAGCTTGTCCGAAACACTATTTAAACTGAAGAAGAGCATCATCTGTCAGAGCTCAGAGTCTGTGATAGGCAGGACTCTCAGCTCCTAAAACACTAAGGTTTAGCTAAATATCAGTGAAACTGACTAGTTGTAGCCATTTTTGTTCTTGTCACGGTTAGCTGTGGAGGCCATCTTGAATCAGGTCGACTCCAAAAAGACAATCAGCTGAAGATGTTCATCCAATAACTGCTTCACGAAAGCTTCAACAAAATCCACGTAGTACTTCATGAGATATTTTACTAACAGACAGACGAATACACACCCACACACAAGCAGTTACATGATCGCCTGCCTTTCCTGGTGGGCGATAATTATTAGAACACTGAAACTTATAAAAGTGAGCGAGTTGAGCTAGCTGAAGTCATCATCATTAACGGTGGTTAAAAAGCTGCACCTACTTTGGGCACGGCTGCCTGGAAACGGATGTTGGTGACGGGGGTGGGGGCTGAGGACAACATGGAGATGATCACCACCAGAACATCGGGTCTGGACGGAGGACAGTCGCGCGCGCAGGTGAACAACACGCGGAGACTGTGTTTGTCAAATACGGTCACCGGTAACAAGCTGCCTGAAACATGAGACAAAATGTGTGCGGACATTAAAACAGAAAAATTAACTGACACTTTTTATTTATTTATTTTTTCCCTCAGTGAGCGCAACAACAACAACAAAAAAAATTTGCACACAATGCTTAAATCTTTGACTTCTAATCTCAAACACTTGGACCTAAATGCATAATTTAGATCTATGATGTCTCACAAATTAAAGCATTGAGACCAAACTTGAGCTGCGAGCTCCTTGTAACTTTAATGAGCATAAAACCAAATATTTCTATACCTAAACTGACAACAGAAAAAGTGACTTGAAATTAGTTTTTGTTCGTTTTCTAATTCAAATGATTGAAGCAGAATGACTATTAAAGTGGCTGTGTGACATTAGTGGTCCTATCAGTTATTATGAATGGATTGTGTATCCAGCCTCCTATCATACAATTATTAGCTGAATGTGGCTAAAGTTTTCACTAAAATATGTTTAAAATGCAGCGATCGAGCTAACGATATATAGCTAAAAATATATATATAAATAATGATTCGACTTTAATAAAAGATTAAGGTAAGTAAAATGTTGTCCTTTAAAAAAAATTATGATAAATTACCAACAACTTAATGTAAATAACAATACTTTTATCTTAATTTTAAAGCTCAAGCAGATTTTGTGGCTCTATTCAAATTATATTTAGTAGAAAACATATTAAAAATGGCTTTTAGCTATAAAGGTTGTAAACCTATGGTCTATGTTTCCAAAAACAATAAACGTCAATGATTTAAAAAAAAAAAAAACCTAAATTGTTTAATTTATTCTGTTAGTTTTATGATCATTATCAATCATTTTGTTACAGTTTAACAAAATGTTTGATACAACGCTAAGTTTGTTTATTTCTTTTAGCATGTTTGTGGTTTTTTTTGTAAGTTCTTACAATACTTCCTTACTTTATTACTCATCACACCATATTTTACACAGCAACAATAATTAAATCATTTCATTCAATGGATTTGACCCAATTTTTCTTTTTTTAAATGTCAGTTTTTAAAAATCTCTAAACACAACGATACGACAAGTGCCTTAAAAACAAACTCTGCAGTGTATTTTTAACCTTTTCAGTTTTAGTTGTTTTATCTAAAATACTAAATAAATCTATCAGTGTATATATATATAT